ATATATTTTGTAAAATTTTGATTTTTCATGTGTCATAATCAAGGATGTTATATCTAAATGTAGCTCACCCAATAAGTGTGAAAATGCCTGATGGCGTGAGTAAGTGACTGTGAGGTGAGATCAAGGGATAATGAGTACTTCACAAGGTAAGCAAACAGTTATCACCAAGGGAAGAAAGAATACTGGGGAATTAGAATCTGATATAAAAGTTCACGTAATTAATTACAAGATGAGACATCAAAAGAGAATTTAAACACTGAATAGTGATACACAATTTCAACTTCTACCTGGTTAAGCCACATGCAAGTAGAGTAAGTGTTTTCTTTCACTATTTCGGAGGATCTGGTTGTACGATCTACACTACAACAAGTGAATATTTTAGAGTTGTATGTGTTGCAACGGACAGAGAAAAATGAATCTCAGACAAGTACTATCCAGAAGAAATTTTACGTAAAACTCGTTTTATAGTATTTTGGCATATCCCAACTAAAGAGCTTTCTATTGATCGCTCACTCGACCACTTACCACTGATGGTTACGAAATAATTGTATATTAAGTCAGGTCATTTATCCTACAATCCAACATAGGTAATTCTGCTTGTTCATTTTCTACCTCGTAAGTCAACTGGATTGCGCCTACTAACGAGTTTATATGTGTGAGGAAATTGTCGTTATGTTCTGATTTCAACAGAGCAAATGTATCATCCATATATCTAGAATAAAATTGAACAAGGCATGCATAAAGTCAGAATCACGTGACGCCTATATATATTAAAGTTATCAGTTCAAGTACTTTGACATCAATTCATGTCACTTTATTTGTCGTTATAACAGCACAACCAATGGTCGCTGCTATGAGCAGGGAAAGCAATCTTATTACCTTTCTTGTTGTAAGAATTTATCGCATATGCACAGAAAACACATAAGATATGGAAGTGGAATTTTCCAACCTAATTTGCATATATATATATATATATATATATATATATATATATATATATATATATATATATATATATATATATATATATATATAAGAGCGACAGCTAGTGACTGTCTACACGTTCATCTACCAGAAGCAGTTTGAAAAACATCCATTGCCGCATCACTGCTCGCAAGTCCTAGTTCCTCAAAACGCCAAAGACAAGTCCCTCTGTTGGTAACATCCATATGCATATACAAACTAACATGTTTCTGTGGAGTCAGGTACATAGGCTTTACTTTGAAGACATGACCATGAGTATTTACCGGCGTGGTTATTAAAAACAGAATTCAGACAAACAAATTTTATTCTAGAGCAGATTGTTCCACCAGGTCACGTAGAAGCTGTACGTAACTCTAACGATGTAATATATAATTTGGGACAAAACCGTTCCATGGGATTTCCGTTACATCCTTTTTAAAAGTTGAAATTCTGACTAGTCTTAAAGAGAATCCTACGCTTTATGTACATTAAACTTTTTATTCAATCCTTTTCTCCACCCTGGCATTAGTTTCACATCTTTCTGACTTTTGCTGAATAATTTTCGCTCCTGTAAACTCCCATTCCTTTTGTTACAGCCTTCCTTAATTGATTTAAATCCTTATCACTTTTTTATGCATAACATCCCGGCTCCTCAGTCTCATCTGAGTAAAAACAAACACTTCTGAGCTAAGTTCATTATTTAGTGTTTGCATATTTTTGTTACGTAAGATTGACTTGCTGTCTCCCAAGTTATACCATTTTAATCAACCAGTTCACAGTTCAATACTCTTTGCTAATAACTAAGATTAGCGTTTGATCCTTTTTGGTACTTTCGTGATATCTTTTCAAACTACTACATAACTGTACAGCTACGATAAGGGGTTAAGAACGCAGTCCTGATCAATATCTTTTACTTAGCTAAGTATTGTTAGCTGGAACTGCTGACTGAGCGAAATCTGTCTTTACTGAGCCGAATCGAAAGGTATTGAGGCTGACGTTGGACAATCCGTTTCTTGTTCCGTTCTGTACACATGAATTCAAAGATGCAAGTGTCTTGACTATACACAGAGTATTCAGTATTGGGGGGATTGTCGTCGTGTTCACTATTGTACAATTAGTATAGGTTTTTAGCAGATTTGCAGCATAAAATGTTCCTTTGACAGATTTCACCAATCTGTATTCTAAAAATGTATTCTAATGTGCATTCCAAGGTCTAAAACAACTTATTTACATCCCTACGCTGGTGGGTATTTTATGGTAACTTTTCTAACTAAAATTTTTATCAATGAATGTTTTCTTGTCTCCACTTTTAATCAACATTGATCATGAGAATCTCTGCCTTCTAAAATGTTGGTTCTATGCATTTTTCAGATATGAGATGAAGGAGAATAGATTGAATTTATTTTTCTGCTGTTAAGAGTCAAACAATATAATTTTTTCCTTTTGTGTAGTTTTTTCGACAAGTGAATCTTTGAAACGTTCCATCACTTCTTTGTGTTCATAATACTTCAAGGGGTTGAACCTTTAAGTGTGACTATTTTAATCATAGAAGGGATGCAGGAACAATATTCACTAGAAGAGTGGAGTATTTTTTGCCAATCAAACTTTCTTGTCACAAACAAATGCGGAATCAGCATCTCCCATAGGATCTAAACTCAACCAATTATGACTGTATTCAGTTTGCGTAGTTTTCGAAAACAGATAGGGTTGTTGAAATGTTGTCATAAACAGGGCTTTCTGAGTTGCATCTTTTTCTTCATGACCTGACCATTCGGTGCTCAAGTCAGTGTATGCCAACTGGTAAGTCTGATGTTTAACTAGTTAAATAATTCAGTAGCAGATAAATACCACTACTTATTTGTTTCCTTTTTTCCCTTTAGCTAATTATTGAGCATTTAGACTTGGCTTGTTTAACATCAATCCGCGAATTTGCTAAAAAAATTACACGGGAATATACTTGTTTGAATATACTCATACATAATGCTGGAATGATGGCAACAAGTTATATGGAGACACATGATGGATTTGAATTACAAATGGGTGTTAATCATTTGGGACCTGTCTTGTTAACTGAATTATTACTTCCATTGTTAACTAGAGGTGCACCATCGCGTATTATTGTTGTCGCCTCAAATCTGTACCAACAGGGTGAAATTGATTTGAATAATTTAAACTTACGAGGAGAGAATTATGGTCCATTCAAGGCGTATAACCAGTCGAAATTAGCTAATGTTTTGTATGTACGTGAACTAGCCAATCATTTGGATGGTGTCAGTGTAATACCGATGGCCGTACATCCTGGAGCTGTTCGAACAGAAATATCATATACAGCGAATAATACCTATCAGGTAAGACTAAAAGTCTGTGAACATTTTGATTCTTATATGTAAAATCCGTTGATGATGACTTTTATTTCAAGATATTCAATATTATCTCCGCACTAATTGAAGAAGTCGTTAACTCAGAGACAATTTCGAGGACTGAATGATCTCAACTAGGGAGGAGTAAACTGAAAACTAAGGAACACTTGACAGCTGTTCCATCCTAGTTCTGGATTTCTCAGTAGTTTTCACAAAGAGAATTGTATCTTAAAGCTGTCAGAGCTTGCGGCAAAGCCCAATAATGTTCAGGTGACGAGTTGGATTTCATTGCTTATTTTATCATAGTGATTAGTGCCAACAATGAGAAACTGAATTGAGACAGTAGTCTGTTCATAAATGTCGATTTGAATTTTGAGATTAGTAATAAATTTGTACTGATGAACACTCTCATATAAGAAAAGAAGACATGTCCATGACTTTCAGTGATTTCTTGATTAGTAACAAATTGCAGTGGAAATTGTACGCCCGAACGCTATAGCACCAAAGTTTATAACTGTTCACGCAACTGCACACAGTCACACAATAGGGTGGGATCGAGCGAAAGTATCAAAAACTAGCTTAGTTAGGTGGAGGGACAGATCGATAACAAGATCTTCATTTATTGAATCGATACCAAGTACATGGAATAGAAATGAAGCTGCACCTGTCCCAGATATATAGAAAATACTACTACACTTATCACATAGAAGTAGAGAAGATCAGAACTGTGTAAATCATATCTCTGTCAATTACCTTTAAAACAGTATCTAGTAAATAATACAGTTTCACTGTGTGACAATTTTAATAAGCAGATCAAAATAGAATTACAATCTACCACAGTGCCCTAGTTTTACTCCTATATGAATAAAAATCAGATGACTGGTGTTTGGAGGAGACAATGAGTTGTCATATGCATGGAATTTTGTCAATCACTTTAAATGACGCAGGTATATGCTTCAGAAAGAAAATAAAAAAATATTATGAATAGCTTATGCTATGAACTGACACCATGAGTAACACTGGTGGAGACAAGATACTACTGAACAACTGTTCTGCGGCAAACATGTCATAATCCAAATTCAGTGATCAGTACAACCAAATTTAATCAATTTACCTCATAAAAAAATTAATATGGAATCCAATCCATGAGCATTCATCCTTATTCATAAATTAAGACACGAGAAAAATCATACTGAAGCTAGTCACTAGTAAAGCAAACAGTGCGTCAGTTTTATAAGTCGCTCACTTCTTACTTAGTAAACAACTATTCAAATATGGTTTTGTTAACAGCATGGTAACCCACCAAGCTGTCCATTTATTACTGCTAACTAAAACCTGTCAAACAAGTCTTTAGTGTCACCACTGAACTATATGATGCGACCCTTCAGCACATTGCATTTTAGTATTAGATACAGATGTCAGTCGGTAGGAATCTTTACTGCACTTAGGTATTGTGATTCCCTATTCTGAATCCTTAGCATATATGATATGAAATATTCATGACACACATTTCAGTGACTTTACTTAGACCATAATGAACCACCCATTACGGATGGATACTTCCTTTATAAGTTCAGGTGTAATAGTGATTAAGCAATCATGATAAAATTATCAGCGTTTTTTCCTTTGCACAGCTATTCTTGCAACTAGACACAATACGTGGCTCCCAGTTGCTATGATTCAAAATATATCTTCATGATAAACTATACTGAAGTGTAGTCAAGCTGTGTTTTAAATAATCAGTATGCCCCAAGTTTGTTCACTGGACAGAAGACAAAATAAGCACTAATAACCTTGTATATGACGATAATTATTATTTATGAACTAGGCATGTACATATATGATTAAAAAAACTATTACTTACAAAAACTTAGGAGTGCTCAACTAAGCTACTTTTGACAAAGAACCGTATAACTAAAGGGTTCCTTGGTCCTAGAGCGACTTAATCGGCGATCTTGAACCGTCGATCGCATTTTTCGTTATTTATAAAAAAATATTCGGTAAAATTGTAAGAAATTACTCTGTGTTTGACCATTTCACGCTATTTTTCAATTCTGCATACTTCTTTAAGTATTCATTTTGTTGAAAAGTCAAAAAAATCAATCGACGAGCAGGTCACAGTGCTTTATTGCTAAGTACTAATATGTCCAACATAATATTCCACTCTTGCCCTTAATCTGACGGTCAGAAGGTCACAATTGTATTAAGAGAAAGAATGCATTTCCTTTTGATCCGTCCAACAAAAATTATTCTACCAGATTAATTTGCCAACCGAAAACCCTAGATCAGAGAACAACTTACTCTGAACGTCGACAATCTGAGCTACAAATACTCGCCATAATTTTTATATCAGAGATTACATACATTTTACTTATCTATAGGGAATTTTTCCGCCTAATATCGTACTCACGACAGCTACTAATTATTAAGTAGAAATCGAATTATGTAAAGGAGTTTTAGACAATTGGCAGGAAATCCTGCGCTTAGCGATCGTCAGCAAGGTGTTTCAGTTCCCTTAAGAGAACTAAACTTACTCCAAAAATTGAAATCTGGGTCAGTCAGTGCTGCAGTCAGATAAGTTCCCACTTAGCTACTCTTACTGCGTATAACATTATGCAACCTCGCCTGGTTAACTAGTTCACTAGTTACTAGCCAGTCCTCAGCCCGGATAAAGAGGAAAGGTTGGGCGTAGGGCTAGCAACCCAATCCAACCGCTAAACAAACTTCAAAGCACAACAAAATATAAAAATAAAAACAAACCTATTCCTCGCTGGAATCGGAGAGACGAAATGACGCCAGTTGGTGAAAGCCTTCGGGAAGCCAGTTGGCCGATGTGTCTTCTCTTCTATCGATAAAAGCAAAAGTAAACATGGGGACATGGAATGTCCGCACCATGTTTGAACCTACCAAGGCTAAAGCCCAGATTGTAAAACAAATGAGAAGGTATCGCATTGAAGTGCTAGGAATTTGCGAAAGTAGATGGAACGGAAGTGGACTCTCCAAACTGTCAACTAGAGAGTCAATAATTTACTCCGACATTGTCATCCAGAAGACAACCACGAGCATACTGAGTTTTGGAGTGGTTATCATGATGTCTCCAAGAGTATCGAAGGCTCTCATGTAGTGGGAACCAATCTCCTCCAGGATCATGGCAGCAAGGTTCAAATCAAAAGGAAGTAAGGTCACAATCATACAATGCTACGCACCTACAAATAATGCAGAGCGAAAGAAAAAGGAGGAATTCTATAGACAACTGCAGTCAACACTGGACAAGACCCCAACCCAGTTGGCGACATCAAAATTCATTCTAATGTGTGGGGTGGGTGACATGAATGCCAAACTGGGAGCAGACAATACAGGAAGAGAACAGTGCATGGGCCGAGAAGCGCCAGGTGAAATGAACGAGAATGGAGAACTGTTTGCAGACTTGTGCGCATTCAACGATTTGGTGATTGGAGTCAGGCAGTGTGTTCAAGCACAAGGATATCCACAGAGCCAGCGCAAGGATTTCACCAGACACCAGGACACACTAAAAATCAGATCGACTTCATCTCAATGGGAAGAAAGTGCAGACGCAGTCTTCTGAACACAAGGTCAAGAAGAGGAGCAGATGTAGGTTCAGACAACTATCTAGTGCAAGGAACCTTCCAAATCAAGTTAAAAGCCTTCAAGGAAGCTGGTGATAGACCACAGTTCAACAACCGGAAACTGAAGGACGAAACTACAAAGTAAAACTTCACGGCAGCCATCAAGACAAAATGGGAGATGTCGAGGAACATTACTGAAGAAACCTGTGTGGATGAGCACTGGAACTCTTTGGAGGCTATGTGGAAAGAAACCTGCATAACCGTATTAAAAAGGAAGAAGAAACGAGACAAGGGATGGATCTCGACGGATACATGGAAGCTGATAGAGGATGGGAAGGAAGATGGTGAAGCAGAAGATGAACCAGTGCATTGTGGTGCAGGGAGAAACAACGAAAAGAGGAACTGAACACAACCTATACTACTACACTGGACAAAGAAGTGAAGGAGAGTGCACTGAAATACAAAAGACACTTCTAAGACACACTTGCAAGTGAAGCAGACCAGGCTGCAGGTAGGAGAGACCTGACAACATTGTATCAAATAAAGAAGTTACTACCTGGGAAGAGATCAACGCACATGAAACCAAAAAAAGATGATGAAGGAAATTTAATTACTAAAAAAGAGAAAGAAAGGAAACGTTGGGCCGACCACTTCAAAAAGCTCTTGGATCGACCACCACCACCAGCAACTCGCCCAGAAATACCACCTGCAACTCAGCCACTGAACTACAAGTGAACACAAATCCTCCAACAAAAGACGAAGTCCTGAGCACCACAAAGCTACTGAAGTCCGGGAAAGCAGCAGGATTAGATGGAATCCCGCCAGAAGCACAGAGAACAGACACAGAGACAACAGCGGGCATGCTCACACCAATATTGCAGAAGGTCTGGAAGGAAGTAAACGTACCTGCAGATTGGAAGAAGGGCGACCTAAGCCTTTGCATGAACTGGCGTGGAATCATCCTCCTTTCCCTGTCCACCTAAAGCAAAATACTAAACTGCATCATCCTGGAGAGACTAAAGGATGCTCTGGAGTCAAAACGACCGGAACGGGCTGGCTGGAATCAGGAAGAACAAATCATGTGTGGATCAAATTGTAACACTACGCTACGCATCATCATAGAACAGAGTATAGAATGGCAGTCAACTCTCTACCTCAACCTCAACTTCATCGACTTTGAAAAGGCCTTCGACAGCGTCGACTGAGAAGTAATTTGGAAACTGCTGCTCCAACACTACGGAGTGCCACTAATCTTTATCAACCTCATTCAACAGCTATATGCTGTATGATGCTACATGCCAAGTGATTCACAATGGAAGCTCAATGATGTCTTTGAAGTGAAGACAGGAGTAAGACAAGGCTGCCGCCTACTATCACCCATTATCTTCGTGATTGTGATGG